GTAATATCTGGAAAACTACGGATCAAAAAAAGTGGGTAATGAAATTTGTTCGTCTCGAAGGGGGACATCCAATGATATCAAACTCGACCTCCCACTCCACTCCTGGGGGGGTGGGAGTGGGGGGCAACTTAAAAGTCTTAAATGGGAACCCCCATTTTTTATTGCAGATTCGGATTCTACGCCACAAAATACGTAAGTTTCATCCGAAACTTTTTTTTTATTCGTGATAAATGGCGCTGTAATCGCAAAAAATTAGATTTTCTGCAATTCTCCAGAAATGATCATTGGATTGAAGAATAAAAAAATACCTGTTCAATATTTTTAAAAATATTTTTAAAAAACATAACAGTTATTCCCCCTATCCCCTCGGGGTAGGGTGGGTGGTAACGTTCAAATCTCAAATGAGAACCCACATTTTTTATTGCAGAATTAGATTTTACGTGAAGTTTTTATGGAAATAATTTTTTTCATTCGTGATAGATAGCGTTGAATTTTTCCGAGAAACTATTTTTAGCGTTACCCAGGAACAACGACGAGGACGTAGTAGCTTTCTGTTCCCTTCGGGATGCTTGTTTTAGGTGAGTCCTCTTGCTTCTCACCATCGGGGTGCTTGTTTTAGGTGAGTTCCCTCGCCTCTCGCCATCGGAGTGCTTGTTTTAGGTTAAATCACCCCGATGCTGAGAGGCGAGGGGACTCACCTAAAACAAGCACCCTGAAGGGAACAGAAAGCTACTACGTCCTCCTGTACTCGTTGTTCCTGGGTAACGCTAAAAGTAATTTCTCGGAAAAATTCAACGCTATCTATCACGAATGAAAAAAATTGTTTCCATAAAAACTTCACGTAAAATCTAATTCTGCAATGAAAAATGTGGGTTGTCATTTGAGATTTGAACGTTACCACCCACCCTACCCCGAGGGGATTGGGGGGAATAACTATTATGTTTTTTAAAAATGTTTTTAAAAATATTGAACAGGTATTTTTTTATTTTTCAATCCAATGATCATTTCTGGAGAATTGCAGAAAATCTAATTTTTTGCGATTACAGCGCCATCTATCACGAATAAAAGAAAAAGTTTCGAACGAAACTTACATATTTTGTAGCGTAGAATCCGAATCTGCAATAAAAAATGGAGGTTCCCATTTAAGATTTCAAAGTTGCCCCCCACTCCCACCTCCCAGGAGTGGGGTGGGAGGTCAAGTTTGATATCATTGGATGTCCCCCTTCGAGACGAACAAATTTCATTACCCACTTTTTTTGATCCGACATGTAGTTTTCCAGATATTACGATTTGTCAGGTTAAATGGGACACCCTGTATAACATGTTATATCCTTGAGTTCTTTTCCGTGTGTCCACAGGTAAGATAAGTTAGACTAAGATGGATAATGAATCTCTGTCTATTCTTGTCTCACTACTGGCCAGCTGATAATGGTGTCAGTAGGCATCAGTTAGCGATGATTTTATCTCATACTTCATCTCTCATCTGTCTCTCTTTTCGAATGATGTCTTATGGCTTTCGTAGACCAATTTGATATGTGATATCTAATATGCCTATAGTTTTTCCAGAAAATGACGATGTCAATATTTCCAGCAATTCTATTTTGCGAAGAAGATTTATTGGATATCACGCGTCGCACATCGCGCTAGTCTGCAAGAACAATTAGAGAAACAGCAAAAACATTTTATGACTTAGGACCAGCAATGCAATTTCGAATTTGTGCACACGTTTTTCTGTTTCCTCTTTGCATACAGAGATTCTCTGTCTACATATGATGACATCGTCAATAAATATATAGAGTAAATTTAATGTCTTATAATTATATCACAGAGATATTAAATTACAATGAAAAACGTAATGTAATATCTTATATTATGTTACATTACGTTATGCTTCTATAGAATTGCCTTACATGTCGCATAATACAAAAGAGACGACAATAATATACGTACATATATGGGTCCTAAGGCATCGCGTGAAAAGGGACATGAGAGATGAATCGTGAGAAATAAGATCGCTATCCGGTGATGAGATAGGGACAAACACAAATGTTCTGTCCGTCTTTGTCTATTTTATATCATTTGTAACGCAACAGAATCTATTCGCACTTACTATGCGGTGAATATCTTGGAAAAGGTTTTCATTCCTACTGCTGACAATTCTACTATCAACGCGGAGTTCTCGGCAAAAGGATCAGGAGCTTTAATTTTTTTGGTCATTTCGGACAGGTCGTTGCCGAGTGCAAAGTCATAGAGTATCAAAATATTGATTTATTTATTTATTGGGGATAATTTTTATATTAAATTCAATAAATAAAACTTGAGAAATACATGCGCGCGCGCGCGCGTACACGCACATACATACACACATGTGCACACAAGCAGATATAAAAATTGTATGACTTTATTCAAAATAAATCTTCATAAACAGAAACGATAAAATTTTTGCTCCAACCTAATAATTTTAATGTGCTACAAATAATAATGTACATGATATATAATGTACACAAAATGTGAAAAAATAAATTAAAGATATTAGATTTGTATATGCATGAAATTACTTACATTTAAATCTTACATGAGTTAAAATGATTATAGATTTTTATTTTAGTATATTACAGATTTAATATATTATAGGTTTATAGAGGGTGTCTAACTAATGCATTTCGTTAAGAGCGCGGCCCAATCGATCCAGCAACTGTTGCCAGTGCGCGGCGAGGGGAAACACAACGCGCCGCTATTCGTGTTTTATTTCGCCGCACCTATTATGTCTCGCCGCACGCCGCCAACAGTTGCTAGGTCGATTGAGCTGTGCTGTGGCCTGAGAGGCTGCAACATTCCTCTAATCATCGGCGCGCTCCCACTCCTCAGATTTCTGTCGTTAATAATTCGATAATTATTGCGAATTTCGCAAAATGGTATGGGACTTTTATGTTTGTCTTAACTCTATGTCTCCACAAGATCTACAACATTAATTATGAGATACCATGTATATTTTATAGTTAATAAAAGATGTGCTAAATCAATAAGTAAGTTATATAGAACCGAAAATTACGCGTTTAAACATTATCCCGATTACATCCTGTTAAAAAATTTCATATTGATTATTTAGAAATACTCAGGATATTTTCAACTTTTACAAAAATGAAGATTTTTCTGCAATAACTATAAATAATATAAATACAAGATATTAATATATTATACAATATTATTAATACATTTCCTGTTAATTTTTCATTTCGTTATGCAACATTGTAGCTTTCATTTTATTATATTTCCAAAATATAACTAATATTTTTTTCATAATATATAATAATATAGTTTTTTGGTCATCTTTAATTAATTTATATTATTATTTCCATTTGTAAAACTTGTGTCTCCTTTCTATTATATTATTATATTATTATATTACTATATCATTTTTCAATGTGTAATAAATAGCATTTACTTATTTTATATAATCGGTTACATATTTGAGATGTTTCTAAATAAAGAATATATATATATATATATAATTTAAACGAATTAGCATATATACATATCAGTTTAATAATTTAATTTTTATACAAGTTATGTATATTTAGACATATATATATAGGGTGTCCCAAAAATAACGGATCACCCTAACTTCTTCAGTATTGTAGTTTCAAGGAAAATGATCTGAATAAAAGTTGTAGGGATTTAAGTGAACTACCTTATGATGACATTGACTTTGACCTTAACCTCTATTTTCAAGGTTATTTTAAGGTCAATTTGCGCTTTTTAAATGGGAACCCCTATTTTTTATTACACTGTTTTTTTCTATTAGTTAATTTGAACAACGTTTGTCTAAAACATTTTTTTATTTGTCTAATATTTTTTGAGATATTTAAGGAAAGCTTGGTAACTTTTCCAACATTTATCTTACGATATCTCGCTAACTATTCGTCGATAAAAAAATAGTATTAGACTTTCTTACTTTATTTAATATCAAGAATATATTAATAGTGCCCTAACTTTTGTTAATTTAATAATTTTGAAATTTCCAAAAGTCGATAAGTTAACAAAAGTTAGGGCACTATTATAATAATATATTCTTGATAGTAAATAAAGTAAAAATGTCTAATACCATTTTTTCTTTCGATAAATAGTTAACGAGATATCGTAAGTTAACTGTTGAAAAAGTTACCAAGTTTTCCTTAAACATCTCAAAAAATATAAGCAAATAAAAAAATGTTTCAGACAAAAGTTGTTCAAATTAATTGGTAGAAAAAGATGATATAATAAAAAATTGGGATTTCCATTTAAGATAATTGATTATCGGTGATCTCGAAAGTGACGCCATCTATAAGCAAAATGCTATCGCTGTCTTATGTGCTGTTTCAAGCCAAACAACTTTTGTCTGAAACATTTTTCGATTTAACGCAGTGTTTCTGAGATATTTGAGTGAGTCCTTTAAAATTGGACACCCTGTATATTTAAACATGTATATATGTGCGCATTTGTAAAGTAAATGTATATTGATGAAAAGCTTTTAATATCTCGAACAATTTTTAAAACATAAACTTATTAAATTTGTGATAAAATAACATATATTATTTTGTCATATTATATTTAAAAAAGAAAAATCTCAAATAATATGCAAATACATAATATATTGTATATAATACATTATTTATAAGTTTTTTATTTCGCTTTAACGTTAATTAATATAAAATATGTTTGTTAAAGGTACCTATAAAGGATGATGAAATCTTGGATACGCCAGCAGAATATATATTAAATGATGAAGATGATGAATAAAACAATCGACAAGGAAAAGTATCAAATTTTCATGATAGAAATAAAAAAAATACAATTATTAATTACAAAAAATATTATGTTTCTATAATATTCATTAACGATTTATATTTGAAAATCTTTATGAAATATTACCATTTGTTTATAACAAAAAAAAGTTACATGATGTAAAAAAACTTAAAATATATAAGAAAATAAATATTTTGAAATATATTGAAACCATTATTAATTTTTTCCAATTTTATATCGCATTAAAATTCCTGTAGTAGCATGATGTACTTCTTCTGCAAAACTTTTAAAATTATGAATAGTAGTACCACCTAAAATAATTTTTATACCTTGATTTTGCTTGTTTAGATTATAAATTGCTAAACTTTCTTCGTAAGTTGTACCTCCGATCATAAATACTATAATATCCTGAGGCCTAAAATGTAAGATACATATTAATTTAAGATAATTCAAAATAATTTAAAAGCTTTTAAGATATAATGCAATATATGCGTGCACACGCATGCGTTGTACGAATGTGAATATATTTGTTAATGCATGAATATGAATGTCTGTTAAATACGTAAATAGTTTACCTTCGTGACATTATCATATTACCAAGATACGGAAATATATGTGTACTTAATCTTCCTTTTATTAAATCCTCTAACGTTTCATTTATCAAAGGACAATGTTGTGTATATATGTTATCCACCCCACTTAGTCCTTTAAATAGCTTTTTAGTTATTTTTGCAACTGCTTCTCGATCAAATAGATTACTTCGTCGTGTATTAATACCACTATATTCCAATATATTATATACAAGCTGAAAATAAAAATTTTTTTGATTATATAATGAATAAAATAATACGAATATATACAAGATCATACATGTCAATTCTCCAATTTTTATATCAATCATTTCATAAATAATTGCACATATAGCTTTTTACAAATAAGTTTGAATGAAAATAAAAAAGAATTCTATTTAATACAAAATATATTTACTATTTATAACTTTTTATCACTTGCAAATAACACTTTTTATTCTATTTTCATAAAACTGACTTTTAAAATTCTGTCGCAAGATTATACGCACGATTACTTATTGATTGATCAATGAAATATTTTTATATATATCCAGTAAATAAACTGATTTTATTTTAGTAAAAAGGTAATTATTTTGTTTTTTCATATAAGTCACATTTCTTTTATTATAGTTTATTCAATGTAATTGTACATTTCGCAATATACGAGATCCACTCGGAAAATGTCCGATTTTACACAAAGAGAAAGCTACTGTGGATCAATTATATATGAGCGATTATATGCCCTTCAAAGTACTCTCTTCTAAAAGCCACAACCTTCTTCCAATGTTGCTGCTACTTTCTGAAGCAATTTTTTAATTTAGTTTTTGGAATAGCTTGCAACTTTCTCGTCGAATTTTATTCTTTACATTTCTAAATTTCTTTCCTTTCAAGGACGATTTTAACTTCGGGGACAAGTAGAAGTTTCACGGAGCTGCATCAGGACTGTACAAAAGTTAACGGACTTGCGTTATATTATGTGTGGTCAAAAAATTCTGGATAAGATGAGATGAATGGACTGATGTCGCTTCGCTCACAGATCTGATAAATACCACACCACGCGTACTGGTGTCGATTGAAAGAATCCAAGGCTGCGTCGCTTGGAGATGATGCTCATAAAAATTCCCAAAAGGAAAAGACTCGCTTTCTATAATAGATCCAAGCATATAGATAATGCCATGGGTCAAATACCTTCTGAGCAAACCCTTGTATATCATATAATAAACTTTTCAAAAATAATTAAAGCAGAAGTCGACAAAAGGAGACCTAGTCGACAGGTATTAATTTTAATATATGTTAAATATATGTTAATATATGTTAAATATATGTTAATATATGTTAAAATCATGAACTTGATTAATCTTCAAAAAATTTTAATCGTCAACTAGGTTTCTTTTGTCGATTGTTACTAAATGCATTTATACAGAGTCCCTTTTTAGTTACGTCGAAATTATCTAATTTCCACTTACTGTATGAGTAGATGCAAGCATATAGATGCATAAAATTATAATCAAAAGCATTGAAATAATATGAAAATACTCGGCAATAATATGAAAGACTAACTAATGCTAGTGAAAAAATGGAAGAGAAAATAATTATAATTAAGAAACTAATTCTATTAAGGAATTTTATTAAGAGGTTGCATTAAAAGTCGCTAACTAGTAAACACAAAGCATCATCGATGTTACAATGACAGCTAAATTATATAGTATGTTACATAACAGTTGCTTTGTTATATAATAAAGTAATAGTTACGTAACATATCATATGATTTAGCTAACAGCTATAACATCGATGATACTTTATTTACTGGGTATTCGCATATAGATGACTTTAGCTGCGTATACTGCATGGGTAGTGACAGATGTCTCTTATGTCATTTTGAAATGTGAACATTTCGCACTAAAATTCAATCATCAGACACCATCCTTTATTTATATAAGTGCTTTTCTATAGCCGAGTTAAAATGGAACGCAATAAATTATTTTTCTGGTGTGTATTTCTATGCTATTTTGATTTAAAAAGAAATATAGCTGAAGCTCATTGATTGCTTGCAAAAACTTAGGATGAATCTGCTCCATCGGAAATAGTAACAGTAAAGATTGGTTTCGACGAATCAAAAGTAATGATTGTGATATTCACGACAAACAACGGTCAGATCAATCGAAAAAGTTCGAAGATAAGCAACTGTAAGTTCTATTGGAAGAAAATCTTGCTCAAGCACTCAAAAGCATTGGCTCAACAGCTCGAAGTTGATAAATCAACCATTTCACGACGTTTACAAGCCATGAGAACGATCCAGAAAGAATATGGAAATGGTTGCCACATGAATTAACCGAAAACGCCATTGCTAATCGTTTAAACATTTCGATTTCTTTGCTTGCAAAGCATGAAAAGAAGAGTTTCTTGTGGTGTAACCAGCGATGAAAAATGGATCTATTTCGACAACACGAAACGCAAGAAATCATGAGTTGATCCTGGCCAACCATCAACGTCATCAAAACAAAGCATTCACAGTCACAAAGCAATACTATTCTATTTAGTGAGATATGGAGGATGGATATCGTGTATTACGAGCTGTTGAAACGAAACAGTCAGCTGAATGTTATCGACAACAATTGGAACGTTTGGATGATAATTTGATGCAAAAATGACTATCAATTGCATCAAACCGCCAATAAGTGATTCGTCTCCATGACAACGGTCGGCCCCATATTGCTATAACTATGAAACAAACACTGATGGAGCTTCTCCTGCACTTAGCGTATTCTTTAGACCCGGCCCCAAGCAATTATCATCTGTCCCGATCGATGCAACACGCTTTCGAAGATACATATTTCCATAATTATGGAGAAGTCGAAAGTTGAGTTGCTGAATGGATTGGCTCAAAAGGCAGATCGTTCTTACATCTCGGAATTCAACTTTTGCCAGAAAAGTGGGAAAAAGTCATAACTTTCGAGGACAAATACTTTGGTTGATATATTCACACATTTTGTTATTGAAATAAATGCTCAAAAACACACAAAACAGCAAGTTTTCAATGCAGCCTTAGTAGTAAAACAGGCGGGTTCTAACCCACTTTTTAAAATTAATTTTCAAAAACCGGATCTTTTTTAATGAAATTTTTTTGAACTTGACCTTTTAATGAAATCTTTTTGAACCTTACCTTTTTAATGAAATCTTTTTGAACTTGACCTTTTTAATGAAATCTTTTCGAACCTGACATTTTTAATGAAATATTATAATTAATACTCCCCCCCTTATTTATTGGTACTCCCCCTATTGATACCCACTCTTTATTGATACCCACCCTCCTCCCCAGAATTGTTTGATTCTATGGGCAAGATGGCGGGCGGCCGTGACGTCACGCATATGTCCGGAGAAAAACGTGCTAGGATGTAGGTAGGCTCGAACCTGAGACCCGCAGTTGCCATCGAACACTCGAACCTCGTAGACCACTGCTTCCTATTGCTAGTAGACGTCACGTTTACGGGTAACAGATGGCGGCTGTGACGTCACGCACATGTCCGAAGAAAAACGTGCCAGGATGTAGGTAGACTCGAAACCTGGGCCCCGCGGTTGCTATCCGAACGCTCCAACCTCCTTGACCACCGTCGCCTATTGCTAGTAGACGTCACGTTTACGGGTAAGATGGCGACCGTGACGTCACGCACATATCCAGAGAGAGAAACGTGCCGGGATGTAGGTAGGGTCGAACCTGGGTCCCGCGATTACCATCGAACCTGGACCCCGTGATTACTATCAAACGTCTATCGAACGTCTATCGAACGTCTAATAATCATCATACCGCAAATAAAGAACTGTATTCTTATGAAACACAATTATCATATAAAATCCTAAGAGGTGAAAGGGGATAAGCGTGTTGGAAGAAACATCTGTACATTTGAAATAATGTTTTATTAAGCGTCGTACAATTCTTTCCAAGACCACCAATTGAAAATGTTTAGTACATTCTGTAAGGCACAATTTTTCATATGATTATTACATCGAAAAGTATTATTCAATTTTTGCAGAGAAGGCATGTCATCATAATCGGTGTCCACGGTTCTAATGATCACGTTGCTTCTCACATTGTCATCCAGAAGGTGTAACAACCATTCCCGCTTCTCATGTCCCTTTACATACACAAGTTGAGATGCGACATCTTCAAGCTCGCCATACATATCACCCACCACAGCTGTAGTAATCAAATGTTCAGCTCTGCAGTATTTGACGGTTCCATCTTCCCATCGTAATCCATGGTGATTAGCCGTTAACCAGTAGGCTCTCGATTTGTCTGATCTTGTGAGCAGATGCCATCGCATCGGACTCGTGAAGATGTAGTGTAAAAGAATAGTTCCACTCTTCAGTATCGCCGCTTCTTTTACAATAAATCTCTTTTCAACCATGTACCCTTGTAGATCCACAAAAGTCGGCACATCCATGGTGAAATATTCTTCGACACGTCCGGGAGAGAAATGTTTATGGCACTTTGTTGCATGTATTATTCTTTTCTTGTACATACTTTCTGATGTTAGTTGAGTTTGCGCATTATGTCGGTTAGCGGGCTGTATTCAACTACACGAACATGCAGGATCAGACAGTACGCGGTAGTACGCCGGTATATTCTCCTTATACTCAAATTCTATCCGCACATCGACAATGGCACTCTTGATGGACTCATTTTGACGCGAACAATAGATAACCATGAAAGGACCTAGCCGCCGAAAGTCGGTAATTCCTAACCATACCTCAGCACTGTCGCATCCATAACACGATTTACGAACACGTCTATACATATCGTAAAGTACGGCATATTTATTTTTTGTAAAGTCCAAATTCATGTCATCGTACGGATAACACTCTGAATTCAAATAGAGCTTCGCGTTGATCAATTTGCAGTCATCGAAACGAGTTATATTTTCCGACATGACATTCTTCCGGCCAGTCTGCAGCGCAAAGATAACGTATCGAGGTTTCTCCAAATTAGTAGCAGTTTTGACGGTCCACAAGTGTTTGGTCGTGCTTTGCAGTAGAGGAAATTCATACAGATCCCACGAGCGGAAACTCATACTCAGGTATCGTCCATCCTCCAAAGTTTTCAGCATGGAAAGTTTATTGATATCGTTCAAGATTATGTGAGGCATTCGCCATTGTATCTTGAATAGCTCAATCTTAGGATCCAGCGCTGAAGATCCTAGTAGACTGTTGTTGTCGCTGCGCGATCGTAATAGAATCAATT